CGGGCCACGCAGGGGCCGGGCCCCGTGGGCCGCCGGCGCGGAGAGGTTTTGCGCTAAGCGAAGCTGCAGGTGTTTGGGGTCCTTGCGTGGTCTCCACGACCTGGGCGTTTGGGGGGCAGCGTGGCCGCCCGGCGGTCCCTGGACAAAGGCTCTAGCTTGGGAGCGCCTTTTTTTCCTTTTTCTTTAAATGCAATTTAAAAAAATCATTTTATTGGGGGTTCGTACAACTCTTATCACCATCCATCCATCCATCCATTGTGTCCAGCACATTTGTACATTGGTTGCCCTCATCATTTTTTTTTTTAATGTGTAAGGTTATGGCCTTGTTCCTGGCCTTTCTGGACCTGCCGCCCAAAATGGCGTGCTTTGTCAGGGCTGCGGAGAGGGGCGACCCCCAAAGAAAGGGAATCAAAGGCTGACATCAAATTGATTCTGCGTCTCAGCGACCCTCCAGGACGGGGTACAAGGACTCCAGGGATTCCGAATAGGGGTCCTAGGGGTTACATCTTAGGCTGCTTACCACAAGGTCAGTAGTTCAAAACCATCAGCGCCCCCAAGGGAGAACGATGACGCTGTCTACTCCGGTAAAGAGTTGTACCCTGAGCTAGGGTGTGAGAGGGTTTCTGAAGCTATAAATCTATTCTGCAAAGGAGAACTGCTGTCCTTGTGGTTAGCAGCCCGACCTATGGCCACCATGCCACCAGGCTAGGCTCCTTAAAGGGCAGCGAGTGGCGCAGGAGCAAATATCAGAGCCACCCCCCTCCGAGGAATAACCCAAAGCTTGGAAAGCCAGGCCTAACAGAGAGTTAATGGCCACTTCTCAGGACAAAACTCTAGTTGCCAAATCTCCCAGGGGGCTTTAGCAGAAGGCTATCCCAAACATTTCCCTTCACCACCAACCCCTCTCCCCCACACTCCCCCGCCCTCCCTCCGATGCCCTCTCCCCATGTTCCCTCCCCATCCTCCCCACCTAAAGATCCGGAAATGCAGTTACCTGGAATACCGGTTATCCCAGTTGAGTCCCAGGGTCTGTCCCTCTCCAGATAATATTCGGTGGCTCCCTAGAGGGGCAGGCGAGTGGCTCTAAAAAAAGAACAAATCCCACCTAGCTTAAATTAAGCTTCCCTCAGTTTTGCTGCTTTCCTCTCACTGAGCCCCCCCAGTCCATAATGCCAGGTGGGTAACCTTATCCTTCTCAATGTCACCAAAAGCCATGGAGTAGATCCTACATAGTCAAAGTCCAACCAGACCCCACACCCCGAACTCCAGGCCAGACTGACACCAGTGGTGAAGGGAGAAGGCTGGCTTATAAACATGCCCTGTATCTGCGCTCTCAATCTGGAGCCCCTTCAGGCTACCAAAGGGCGGGTGCTGCTGGATTCTGTTGGGGTGTGATCTGGAGGGTAGAGATAGGGGATTTACAGTTTAGCTACTGCTGTTAACTGCCCTTTCCCCAACTTTTTTCAAGAACTCGTGTTTTTCATTCTTACACACCACACTTCCTAGTCCTTTCTCTGCAGTTACAGGGAGACAGGGGTTTGTCTTCTGAAGTTGAGAATAGAGCCACGTGCCCACATGAGAAGTGAGATAAGACCTCTGCTAAAGTATCCCTGTCTGCATCATCCCTCCAAAATTAAACCTTTATGGAGATCTGTCATCAGAGATGAGCTTTGATAGGTCCTCAAGCAAGGCACAAAAATACAGTGATACCTCGCAGCGTCTCTCAGCAACAGGGACTTCAAAATGCTTTACATTAATTGTTACATGCTGCAAGATGAATGTTGTGCTGTCCCCAACTTCCAGGTAGCTAAAAGGAAGTTCACTTGGTTAATTTTTTTCCAGTTGGCACCTGTTGGTGACTGAGAATGTTTGTGGGAAGGCGACAGTGTAAACTTATCTCCAAAAGTGATCTATGGTCGCTGGCTCGCTGTTTACCACAGAAGCCAAAAAAGCCAAATCTAATGGTGAGCACAACAGATCAGCCTGTCAGGAAGCAAATGGAGAAGATACTCAGGAAAGTAAACCAGCAAGATCCATAAGATCAAAGCCAGTGAAGTGTCTGAGCTTGACTAGGAGGGACCCTACATCCCAGTGAATGGGCCAAGTCAAGATCTATTAGTTGGGGGTCATGAAATGCGAAAGACTTAAAAATGGAAATGGAATAATCCTCAAAATATGTGTGAAACGACAAAAATCTCTGGGCCTTGACATTTTAAATGACAAAGCACCGCTTAGGTTACAACACCCAGCAGATTCTTCCTCCTTCAAAGGGAACACTCAATTAAAAAATAAGGCTTCTTTCAAATTAGTATTTCACCCCCAGAACTCAAAAACTCAATAGTTCCTCCCCTAAAACTCAAAAACCACAGCTTTCCTATCAATGTAATCATCACTAAGAAAATCTTGCAAGTTTTAACTCAGATTATTTAAAAAAACATACCCCTAGGAACATTTTACAATTAAAACAAGTCACAAATAGATGCATCAAGTTTTAAAGAATTCCAGCCAGAGTAAGATAAAATAGATATAGAGATATAGTACAATTGTGAAGTGTAGCAAGTACTTATGATTGAGAAATAAAAAGGATTTAGTTATTTTATTTTTTATAAATCTGAGCCTTTACTTACCCAAGAAGCCTCTCAAGATGTAGTGGGCTGTTAACCACAGCGTTGGCAGTTCAAACTCACCAGCCTCTCCAAGAGAGAAGCTTGAGGTTTTCAGTTCCAGAAAATATTTATAGTCTCAGAAACCCCTAGAGGCTGTTCTACCCTGTCCTATGGGGCCATTATGACTCGCAGTTGCCTCCATGCAGTAAGTCGTTGCCTCCCTACTACTCTGCTTCCTATGTTTGCTCTACCATGTCTGAGACGCTCACCACGATCAATAGAGAATGGTCATCAGGATAGTGACGATGTCATCAGCACAGTGACGATAGGACACTATTTTTGTTGCATGTGAAAATGTTCAGCCTAACTTAGGAACCAGAGAGCCATGTTTCCATTCAGAGGTCTTTCACAATATTAAGTGCATATTTCAAAAACTAGTTAACATTTTTGTAACGTGTGACCCCCCTGGACACCTAATTAAAGTTACAAACACCTGACTGACAGATCCGTATCTTCCCAGAGCTTCACTTTATTTGCATATTTCAAATAGATCAGCATTGCAAAGTTTCTCATTAATGTTGCCACACTCTCTCTTTCTCTCTCTCCCTCACATACACGTCTATAATCTCTAGTTGGAAAAATAAGTGTATCATTTTAAAGGTTCCTCAAGAAATATGAGGTCGGTACAACAATACCACTGCAAATCTGTAGAAGACTTTATTAAACAAAAATTTAAAAATGTGAAGTTATTGTTTCTTGGCATATCCTTTATTTAGTAGTCTGTCCAGTTCTGAAGGCAGTGTTTCCATCTCTCTGATGCTCTCCGGAAGAATCCCGTGCTGTTTGATTGGCAACACGTCCAAATGGCACTGGTGGCATCCTCAAGGGGCTCCAAGCATGTTCCTTTTTGAAGTTTGGGGAACAAAAAGGATCCTGAAGGAACAAGATCAGGACTGCAGGGTGAATGGGATAAAATTCCGATGAAATACTCATAGGCAGCCCTGGCTGTTCCTTAAAGAATGAGCAGGTACATTGTCATGATGGGAAAAAAATTCCTCAGTGAAACATTCCTGGTTCTTTTCTTCTTATTAATGCAGTTTTCCATTTCCTTAAAACATCTTCCTTGTAAGCCCCCATGATTATCCTGAGTCCTTTGAGAAAATCTATTATGTTTACCCCTTCGAGGTCCCCAAAACACGTTGCCATGAGCTTCTGAGCTGACCTTGTAAAGTTGAATTTAACTGGTCCAGTAGATTCCCTGGGAAACCACATTATTGATCGCACCTTGTTTTTGAAGGCCCCTCGTGAGACTAAGTGTGTTGCTGAGAGAACTGTCTACAGCCATCCACTTATCTCAGAGACATGCTTCAACATGTTTTGTTTGGAATAAGCCCAGGCCTATATAAACTGGAACACTAGTAGCAATACTTTTTACCTTAATAAAAACAAAGAGGATATATTCCTAGAAGTGAAGTGGATCATTTGGCAGTGATAATGTCGATTGGAATAAATATAGGTTCAATATGGCCATACACTATCTTAACCAAAAAGGAAGAGAAGGTGGAGAGAGAGGAAGGTTCATCTTGCCCATTACACTGACTGTAAACTAAGATATGGGAGTGTATTAGCTGCTTATAGGCCTCACCATGTACAACCAGAAAATATGTACAAATTCCATTTAGTAAATGTCTTTGATTCTGTCACCTTTTGCCATGGGAAGTCGAATCTAACTCTGATATTAAAATCTAGCACCCACCCGATTGCATTGTGTCCCTGTCACACAGAAGCCAGCACTCAGCGTCACCTCCACAGCATGTCCTTCACGTGCTCGGCACCTCGTTGTTAGGTCTTGCCTTCTTCTTCTTAGGGGCCACTGAGTTGGCTCTGACTCAGAAGAGAATGAAACACTGTCTGGTCCTGGGCCATCTTCACAGTTGCTATGACGCTTGAACCCATTGTTGCTAGGATTGTATCCATCTGTCTCCTTGAGGGTCTTCTGAATTTTTGCTGATGTTCCACATTACCAAGCGTGATGTCCTTCTTCAGAGACCAGTCTCCTCTGACGCCGTGTCCAAAGTACAGAAGATG